AAAAATGAAAGTATGTAAGTTTTTATCTTCAATGCCAACAAGGAAACAAAATGCATAACTCAACTACTTTTTTCCTAGATGAAGTGTCTGAAGTTTAGCCTATTGCCTTCAGGTTCACATGCATTCTGTATAACTCAAGGTGTATTAAGTCAGGACAGTAATCTCCTTAGCCCTCCTTTCTAGCTAATGGAAAAATATGTTAGCAATGCAATGCTGAACAGCTTCTCTTCCAGTGAGGAGCCTGAAGTTACGTTGGGCTATTCTGATGTACCAGGACTGTGCTGCAACAGCTGTAGCTACACTAAACACAAGAGTTGTTTGTGCTTTTGCAAACAGTACTAGCCACACAAAGAAATGTTGGTAAGAGGTCCAACTAAAATACTTAGCATCAGACATTAATTTATGTTAAGAGCTCTCAGCAAGCTGTCTCTGTCAACTATTACTCTTTAGGAGAAGGGATGCATGTTGAGATACAATTTTCTAAAGAACTAGTCAAGCCATGGCATGATCAGCAAGCCTCTTGGAGACTGCTCTTCTACCAAGTTGTCCACTTCCCCCATAACCTCAGCTGCTTTCACGTGCCTCCGTTCTCTCCAAAGTTTCCAAGAACACTTCCTCCTCCTTTCTTCTTTCACTTGTGTCACCATACCACTGATTTAGAGTTACTTGGCTTGGAGCTGCATGCATCCTGATCCACAAGCTTGGTAACAGCTGCGATTTTTTTCAGTTTAAGCAAAAATCTGGATGTCTGTTAGGAGCTACTGGCCACATGAGGTTTTAACATATCTTCTGGTAAGGCAACAGCTTTAAAGAATTTTCAAAATCCCACAGTCTAGCTTGCTGATGAAACTTCCCTTTACAGTAGCCACCAGCTGTAGTTAACACGCATTATAAAATACCTTAATCCTAAACCCTTTTTAAGTAGGTGTTGACCTTTACACAGTGACTAAAACTAGTATTAGTCTTTCCAGAGTCAGAGATATTAAGCTGCACAGAAGTAAGGTCAGTATACTATTTTAAGTTAAGCAATGTCACTCTCCCAGGCCCTTATTTTGACATATTTGTCTACAACAAAAATTGTCGTGTCTTCATTTAAATTGACATAAGTTATTAGAAAGCAGCTACCAAATAAAAATGTTACTGTCTTGCTTTACTATATTTTACTATATTTTTTCCATGTCTTACTGCCTGAGTGCTCGACAGCATCACACATCCTGATTTAACAGCCAATATTCACCTAAGTATGCAGCATACAGGAGCCAATTCAGAGCATTCATGGGCTCTTTTTATTTCGTAAAACTAAACCTTACAGATTCTCAACTCATAACCATTCAGAGAGACAACCACAAAACGTGTATTAATAAAACCCAACAGGCTTCCAGGCCTCTAAAATTTTTTGAACATAAAGTACAAAAAAAAAGATACCATATGTTACATTATAGTCTTGCTGCCTTACAGACCATCATAAAAAGTGAACAAACACATTCAGTAACTTCAGGAGTACCATTACAAAGATACCAGTAAGTGCTCCAGTTTTCTGTACCATACAACTTTATTTCAGTCACATCTTTCTAGGCAATGTATCCAAAATATTTGACTCAAGCATACCTTTGGACTGCAAATATACTGAAATAGGGCATCAAGTCTTTCCTACCTCAAAAAAAACCCCATTAAGTTTTAGGTCATATTATAAAAAGTAACCATGTGGAATGTGACAAGTCATAATGTGAAATCAAAGTGCTTTATTCCCATAGCGCAGAGAGACACAAGTGGTTATCCAGCCATTCTTTTGTATATCTTAAACACCAAAAGAGATATTTTTTCTGTTGCACCCCACCTTGCAAAGACCTTTAGACCATTATGGTGAATTTCATTAACTGACAGCTAAACAGTATCAGTGGATCAGCATTTTCACTTTGATACTTCAAATAATGAGTTATAAATGAGGCATCTTTTCATAATTTTTCAAGTTCCCTTAACAATTTGCAAATTTCTACTGTATTATGTAATATTATATTTAAGTTAACCTCTTAAAATCCAAGGTGCGCTCTATTCAAAACCCTAAAATTATTTCCCTGGAACCCAATAGCTATCTAAGACTTGGTATTTTTGTGCAATTCTTTGCTACCTACATGTGAAGAGAGAAACACTTCACCCAACAGCCTGTATGAAAGAACTCTAAACTCTCAAAGCAGAAAACAATTTTAATAAGGTTTGGACATCAGTAGTTGCATGGAATGTATGCTCCATTCAAATGTGCCCATACTGAAGAATACTCACGTTTTAAGTGTTCAGTCAGAAAACTTCCTTCCTACAGAAGTCTAAAAACCTATTAATCTTGCAGAGAAAAGTTTAAGTCAGGCATCTAATTATCTTTCCTGTTACAACAGAATCAGCTCTACATCGTAATATGTATGATTAATCCTCCCTGTTTCAGACACCCCACTGTACAAGTGTACAGTTTAAACAGGGAGGACTGAGGGAAAATTTCTGGTCCCATCCCATAGACATAAAGAAAAAGCGCTTTGCAAGACTGATTTTATCCATTGCATTTGTGGCAACCAACCCAAAATGAAGGCACATGAAATCTATAATGTTATAGCTTATAAATTGTAAACTAAAGCTGAACCTCTCTGTAATTTCTAGTCTTTTTACACAGAACTAACGACCAGCACCTATGCAGAGGTTCTATATTATTTTTAATGCAGCTTTTCCCAGAAATAGTTAAGTGTCACTTGCATGCCTGTGCAAACACTGTCATTTATTAGGTTTTGACATGAAGTGCAGAAAGTGGCTGTTTATCTGCATGGAAAGTCTGATGCCAATGCATCAGTAACACTTCCTTCCCGTTGCTACAACAGCCACAGACCTGGCTGTTACCTCAAAAGTGCACACTCCCAGCAGCAGTTTTCCTGTGAGGTGTTCTACAGCTTGTGGCATGCATTTAATCAGTGTCTCAAATTTGGATTGTAACATGTCAAAGCCTATCTACTTGTGGTTAGCTACAGGCCAGGCATGCACATGCATCTTAAGGAAGCCAACTCGAAACATGCTTTGACAGATGCTGCATTGAAACTGGCCATAGTTTAACAACTAAACACAGATGAGCTGCTACACTGAGCAGCATTCAGGATCCAGGGTCAGCTCAATACCTCAGCTCTTAAGGAAAGCTGAATATGGATATAAATCTGTCTCCTAGATTTGACTGGAACTCTACCTTTAAAGCAGAGAAACAAGATTCAAGGTTCCCGAAAGCTTTCGCAGATGGATAGGCTCGTCAATCAGATTAAGACTCACTAGGCTGTCAAACAACAGTTCAAAGCCCTGGCTATCACTTCTCTAGAAACACAGGTTTAAAAGAACTCAAACACCACTGCCACCACTTAACTAGAATATGTAATTATACTGCTTTATTCAGAATGATTAACAGGGATTGAGTTTTGGAGTTCTAATTTTTCACTCTACATATGAATTCACAAACCTACCTTTTTTTTTTTCCTTCCCGTTTTATTTTTTCTCTATTTCTGCACAGTGTAAGTTGAAGGGATTGGCACACAAGTTACCAGTGAACACAGACCTGTAGCTATTACATTACAGAACTATATCAGAGTTTCATGAAGATGTCATGCAATGGTGTCTGTGCTCTTCTATTCTAAAAGAGAACAGCTTTCACAGGTAACATACAACACAATTTTCTGATTTTAAATGCAGTGAGTTACACAAAGAACATTAACAAGAATTGACCAGACTTAATAACTGGAACTGCGCTAGGTCTGGCACTTGAGAATTCACAGTGATTAAAATAAAATTGCTTTGCCCAAGACAAAACATAAGATACCAAATATATATAAAAACTCTGTTTCTATTATCTTGTATTAGTATTCCAAGAGTGATAAGCTAGCTCAGTAGTACCTCAGACAGCAAAGACTTCTGCACATAGTTAACTTTATTCATTGCTTGCAGTGCAATGTATTATTTTTTTTAGTAATATATTAATGTTGTCAAATCAAGCAATTTTCAATGCATAAAGTCAACACAGGCTCAACTCTTTGATGGATTGAAGCTTGGATTTTGACAGGAAACCATTCTGTACCAATTTTGTGTACCCAACTCCACATTGTGCCAGGTGGTATTGCTGTTAAAGAGAAACTTAAGGTATACTTGTATATTACTGAGGTGTTCTTCTGACATAGCAACTTGTTTGCTGATAGTTTATAGTACCAGTCGATAATGTAAGAGTAAAGCATTTGCACTTTTCTTTCCCCCACTCACCTCACTAATCCTAGTAGATCCACTAACACAGGTTTACGATCCCAAAGCCTGCTTTTAGAGAGAAAGGAGCACAGCTTTTAAACACCCCAGTGTTTCTCAACCCACCCACTGCCTCCCATTTCAGCACCGAGGGCCCGGCTGAAGCAACAGCTCCCAGGAGCTGTGAGCTCCCGGAGCCTTGTTGACCTGCTGGGCTCACTGACTACACCGAGCTGGGAGTTAATGCAAGATACTCAGGACCCTTCTGGCCAGAGTCCACGAGTGTCGATGAGCACCCACTCGTACCTGCCTCACCTTCTGTGCTACACCTGAGGGCACTTTGGTCCGTGCATCCACCTCCCAGACCTCCTGCTCCCCGGCCTTATCCAAACACATTGGACTTCGGCCTGAGCTTGAATGATGATTTCAGGGATTTCTCCTCATGCTCTTCCTCCTCAGCGTCACCACGAAAGGAGGGCGTGTTGTGGATGATCTGAGTCCTGAAGCGGATCTTATTAAGCCGAGGCTTCATCCGTCCGCTGCCAGATGCTTTCCTGGTCATCTCCTTGCCTTTGCCCGGCATCGCTGCCCCATCGGTACCTTCAGCTTCCTCCCCAGTGCCGTGATGGTGGTGGGAGAGTCGGTAGTTCATGAGATTTGATGGCAACACCTTGGAGAGCCTCCAGCGCCCGCTGCCATTGCCAGCATTCCCTTCCTCTTCCTCCTCCTCCTCCAGGGCCCCCACGAGGTTCCGCATGTCCCCCGAGGTGCCCTGCTGCAGGTACTGCGCAGCCTTGCGCCCGCTGTAATCGCGGATGTCCACGTCGGCGTCGTAGGCTCCCACCAGCAGCTTCACGACCTCGGCGTGGCCGTGCATGGCGGCGATGTGCAGCGCCGTGTGCCCGCCGCTCGTGCGGGCGTTGATGTCCACGGGCAGCCCGTGCCGCTGGGCGAAGTTGACCAGCGTGGCCAGCAGCTCCTGCCGCCCGTGCTTGGCGGCCCAGTGCAGCACGGTGAAGCCGGTGATAAAGTCCCGCTTGCAGAGCAGGGCCGGCTCGCAGCTCAGCAGCCCCTCCAAGCTCTCCCACCGCCCGTCCGAGGCCGATAGCATCCAGGCGTGCTCCAGGGGGTCCAGTGCCACGGAGCCGGTGGTGCTCCCCTCCTCCTCGGCGGAGGACGAGGCCACCGAGGCGCTGTCCGAGTCGCGGCCGCGGCCCCCGCCGGGGAGGGCGCCGCGTTTCAGCTGGGGGGAGCTGCCCCGCGCCGCCTCCCGCAGGCTCCGCCGGCCGCCGCCCTGCGCCGCCGCCCCGGCCGTTCCCTCCTCGTCCGTCGCCGGGGGCCGCCCCGGGCCCGTCGCTATCGCGGTCTCCTCGCCTCCGCCGCCGCCTTCGCCGCGCCCGGGCGGTGGCTCCCGCCGAGAGCCCCTCCGCTGGCTTCCAGCCACCGCCGGGCTCGGCTGGGGCGGCTCGCCCCGCTGCCCCGGGGGCTGCGGGCGGCTGCCGGCATCCTCGCCTGTTGCCGGCGGCGTCTCCTCAGCGCCAGCCCGCGGGGAGGGCGGCGGGCTCAGCTGCTTCGCGCTGTTCCCCGCCGCCGGCTCCTGCTCCCCGGGGGTCGGAGGGGCGGCGGCGGGGGGCTCGGGGGCGCAGTACCGGCGGCGGAGGTGCACGTACTTGACGCCGGTGCCGGGCTCCTGGCGCACGGTGGCCACTGCGTTGACCAGCTCCTTGAAGCGATGCCGGACGGCGGCGCGGCGGGAGGGCTCCGCGGGGTTCAGCCAGTCCCGGAAATGCTCCAGCAGCTCCGCGTTGCGCGCCCGCCCGCCCCGCGCCGCCAGGAACCGCACCACTGACTCCTGCTGCAGCTCCGCCGGCTCCGCCATCGCCGCCGCTACCCCATCGCGCCGCGGCGCTCCTGCTACTGCCGCCGCTGGTGATGGTGGTGGCAGTGGCGGTGCGGGCGCGGTAGAGCCGCCGCTGCCCGAGCCCCTCCTCCCGGCGGCAGCATGCCCGGCAATCACTGCCGCGGCGGCGGCACCGCGCCGCCCTCCGGCCGGGAGGCGCCCGCCAACAGTGCCCGCCCCCGGCGGCGGAGCCGCGGCCGCGGCCCCTCCCCGCGCTCCTCCCCGCCGCGTGGCTCTCCCCTTCGGCGGCAGTTTTGGTTGCGTCCTTCTCTCCCGGCTCTACTCCATCCTTGTGTGTCTCTCTGGCGGGGCTATGGCCGCTTCCGATGCCGACGGGCACCTGGTAAGTTCCCTCCGCGGTGCGGGGAGCAGCCCCTGTGCCGGGGGTGAGCCCGGCGCGGCTGAGGGGACGGAGGGGTCCAGCAGCGCCGGCACTGCGAGGGGAAGGACGGTGGTGGTTGCACCGTGCGAAGAGATGGAAGTACCGCCTGTAGCTGGCTGCCCTCGCTGCGGGGCTCCGGGTGCTGCCCCCGGTCCGTGCCGGGCGCCGGTGAGGGCCGCGTCAGGGTGGGGGTCGGGTTAGCGGGGGGGATGAGGGCTCCTTCCTCACGCCGTCTAGTTCCCAGAGCTGCCAGGCTTTTAGAACTTGTTACAGAAACTTGTTTTCAGATGTCACTGTTCGTAGCGCTCCCGTGGCGCATCGCGTATTTCAGGTAATAAGTTGAATCTCGTCTACTGAAGAGTTACTTCTGTGTAATGGCAAAGCTGTCAGCTTTATGTTCTGAAGACATTGAACCCATCCACACGACGGTGCTAGAGCCTAGTTCCTATGCCTGTAGATAGTAGTGGAAAACTCGGGCTCGGGAAGAGTCAGATTTGGGGTGCCCATGGGATGTTAATGGGATGCCCACCCTCGGGGCTGGGGACACCGCATCCTTCCCAGGACCTCCGCGTATCCGCCTGGGGCCGGCGGATCCCTCACTCCCTGCATAATCACACACTCATTACGGTTTTCTTCGAGTTTTGGAGGGCAAATTTCAGTCACGTCTGTAAATCCAGTAGCAAGCTAGTTTCTTGCTTAGAATGCTAGTCTCGTTCTGCCGAGGTTTATGCAAAGTAATTGTATGTACGGATGTATTCTGACAGCTTTTGCTTTGGTACATGATGGCGTTGTGCAGTTTTGGTCAAAAATATGTGGTAAATTTAAAAGATTAGTTTTTTTTTTTCAAGTTTCTTTCTGAAAGAAATAATAAGTTTTAAATGTTACACCATCTCAGGTTATGTTTTTTTTTCATGCTGTTTTAATGGGCAAGACAACTTTATATAAACCAAAATATTTGATTAAATCATAGAATCTTAGAATAGTTTGGGTTGGAAGTGATCTCAGAAAGATTGGTTCCAACCATCTTGCTCTGGGCAGGGACAGTTTTCATTAGACCATGCTGCTCAGAGCCCCATCTAATGTAACAAATCTGGAGAAATGCAGACACATTAGTTATGCCACCAGCCATTAAAAATGGGGTTGAGGGAAGGAATGAGCTGTGAGTTAGGTGATGTTTAGGTGATATCAATTAGGTGATCAATGAGCTGATACTTCTTTTAGAAGTGGTAAGAATGCAGATACCATATGGTCAGTTTTGTGGACTTAATTTTTTTGCTTATTTGTTAGACAATAGCAGAGAGACAAATGCCCGATGTCCTTGGAAAATTTCAGAAGGAAAAATATGGGCTACTGCTTTTCTATTATGAGAATGCTTCAGTTGCTGTCAGGTGGAATAGGTTTAGACAGTGATTCTTCTGTAAGGAAGGAAGGTGTTGTCCTGAAAGAGGGCTTGCTGCTTGGTAAGCAGCAGCAATTTACACACTGAGACAAGCTACCTCCATTTCTTTATTCTTTTTGTGCAAAGTGGGGTGCTAGATGGTAACCCACAAAATGCTAGCTGCCCAGTCATCAAAACTACATTTATAGGTTTTGGCAAACAAGGAGCTCAAGCATCATTGCATAATTTGCTTAATTGATGTTCTACCTTCTGTTGGTTAGTGATACTCTCGATTGTCATGCTAATTAGTCCACATTCACAGTTTTTCTCTTCTTTTTGAGTTGGTGGGTTTCTTGAGTTGGTGGTCTGTGAGTTGGTGGTCACAATCTCCTCCTGCTAAAATTTCCTTGGAGTTGAGTCAGTTGATTTCAGCATAGTTGCTGAGTTGGCTTTGTTAGTTTCTTCCTTATATTGGGTGTTCTGCCAAATGTCCTTGTGGCCTGTAAATTTTATTTTTTTTGTGTCCACTCTCATTAGCACATCCTTCTCCCCAGGCTTTGTTAGCCTCCTCCAGGCCTGAGATCATCGAGGCATGTCAAGCCCTAAGCCTTAACAAGGCAATTCTGCTGACAAAATAATTTATCTTTCTAACATCTGCACATCAGAAGGAAATACATTTATTCCTGTGAGGGTGTTTTTTGGTTGGAGAGTTACAAATGGCAGTGCAGAGGTTGGGATTTAGGCTGGTGACATGAAGGTGAAAGGCCTCCCTTCTTCAGTCATGCCGAGCCACTTGCACTGGCTTTTGGTGTGGAGGCTGAATGGTTGTGTTAGAGAACTGTCTTATCCTGGTGGCAGTAGAGGTGCTTTGAGTATCAGACTGAGTTCTTAGATGTGCTGCAGCCACTCTGCAGCCGCTGGTCTTTAAATGGACAGGAAACTGACAGGTCTCAGTGTTTCTCAGCACATTTTAATAATAATTTTTTTCTGGTAGAATGACTGGAGAAATTTTGTTTTCTGACATGCTTTGAATATACATTTTTTTAATAACCGAAAGATGTAGTATTTTCTCTTTAAATTGTTCACTTTGCATATGCATTTTCCCTCATATTAGTCTAAAATGGAATTATCTAATTAGAGGAATGTAAAATGAGAGTTGGTGCAGTTAGTGCAGTGCAGTCTGTAAGTCCATACAAGCCAACTCCTGTATGCAAATAAAGAAGAGGATGGGTATATGCCATGAGGAATATCCATATCCTTTTAGCTACTAGAATTCTGAGACTTGCTATGCATACCTATTAGAAAAGGTGTCACTTTAATGGACTTTTAAGCGTTAAATTAAAATATTTCCTGCTGTTGGCCATGTGCATGTTCACAGGAAACAATGACGGTTTCCAATTCCATGTGAATTGGAAATATAAGAGAAAGAATAACATGGACCTGTCACCATTTCTACTTCTGATATGTAATGTTTGTTTAAAAACACAGTTCATTTGTATGGATCAAGATATTTCCTTTTAGCCTTATGCATTTTATTGTGCTCACTGCCTTAATGTCATGATTCTAGGTTGCTAGCTGATGTTTGAAAAGGAATGTGCACCTTTAGATATTTCTAATGAAATAGATGTAATGCTATCTCAGAGTTCTAAAATAAAATGAATGTAGATAATATTTTAGTTGACATAAATAGCAATTTTAGTTCCAGCTTCTCAGAATGAGTTCTGTTTTGTAACGTACACCTTCCTCTGATTATGCTTTCTATTTTGAATTCTGATGCTTAGATTTTTTTTAGTACTTTTGCCTATTTTCTAAGAGCAAGCCAACTGTGGTCCATTTTCTCCCTATAATTTTCAGTTTACATTTTTAGTTGGACTTGTCTACTTTATTTCATTCACGTTTCATAAGGTTGTTTGCTTTTGCGTTTTTTGTTTTGTTTTTTTTTTTTTTTTTCTCAAATAATGGAATAAAGCTCATTTGTCAGGTCTTTTTCTTTCAGATTTGGCTTTTCCTCATTGTGTGTGAAATCATTAGGAATGAGTTCTAGCTTTCTAGTGGAATTTTTATTGCCTTGTTAACTGATACTTTGAAATTATTTTTCTGTAGCAAAATGTTGGCTGTCGAACTTTGTCCTTGTCTGCGCATGTTGGGTTTGATAGCTTACCTGACCAACTGATTAAAAAATCCATCAAGCATGGCTTCTGCTTCAACATTCTTTGCATTGGTGAGTAGTATCTGGATGCCTAAAGGCTTTAGTGGTATACCCATCTTAGGAAGTGACTGGAATTTAAATCCAGTTGTGGTGTTAAACAGTTCTTTAATGTTAAGCATGAACTGTAATTCCACCCCTTCTCCCAGCTTTGTTTATTTGGGTTTGTATGTAGCATTTTCATAAACAATGTGAAGACCAAAAAATGTTGAAAATGTATGCCAGTCATTTATTCATTTATCAGCAGTCTTTTGGATTTTTTTGAGTAAATGGGGCTTACACCTGTAACAAAGAGCTTCAGATGAAAATAATTCTAAAATTCCGAGGTGCTGTTACTGAAGTGTTTCTATACTTATCAAATGTTTTGCTCAATATTTTACCTTTATTCTTAAAAGATGTTTGTTGAATCTCTGGTTTCACAGCTAGCCACTTAACTTTTAAAAATCTGTAGGAAGTTAATTCAGACTTCTAAAGGAACCAGAGTGTCCAGACACTGTTCTGCTCATTACTCATTTGCTGATAATTTACCCTTGTATTTAGGATGAAAAAAATAATGAAAGTATACTAAGTGTTCACTAAAGGAATGCACAAATGCACAGTTTTACACAGAAAAATCAGTTGAGTTTTTGCGTACACTTTCTGTAATTATGATGTATTTACTTGATGAGAAAAGTGTCTTCTCCTACCCTTCTGTTTAACTTTAGGGGAAACTGGAATTGGGAAATCAGCCTTGGTGAGCAGTTTGTTTAACACTGATTTTAAGGACTCTCCATCAACACATTTTCTGTCAAGTGTGCGACTTAGAGCCCAGACTTTTGAACTCCAAGAAAGTAATGTTCTTTTGAAGCTGACAGTTGTAAAAACAGTGGGATTTGGTGACCAGGTGAACAAAGCAGATACGTAAGTACCCTCTTGTCACTATGTTATGCTGAAGTTTTGATCTTAAGTGCAAGTTGATTTTTCTTTGGGCTTTGCAGTAAGTGGTTGTCTTACATGAATTCCAAATAGATGGTTAACTGTTTTCCCTGTGTGCCAAAGTAAACACATTATTCTTCTCTTGTAAGAAATTATAATTCAGATGAACTCTGCTCCTTTATTTATGAAATCTTTTCTTTCTTAATCTTTTATAAATGTCTGTACATGCAGTAGTTTCTTTTGGGATGGAGAAAAGCAGGGAGTTCAATGGGCGAGTTTTTAAACAGTCAAGCACATTATAAAGTACTGTAGATTATATAGATTGGATCTGCAGGGTTTTTAACAATTTGATTGTAACTTGTTGAAGACATTAAACTGGAAGTAACATCATGTGGATTACCAAAGGTCTTTGTTTTTTGTGTCAGTCAGCCTAGTCAGAAGCTGCAGAGGCAGCACATTGGTGTCTTTCAGAACTTTTTTTGAGTCTCCGCTTTCATTAATTTTTTACAGGACTGAACTGTCTCAGCAGATTTTGTTTCTTTCAACTTAATTGTAAAGAATTTATGCAATGTGAGTACCTAAATGGTGGTACTCGTATAATAAAAGGTTAGAGAGTCGCATTAAGATTATCATGACAGCTGTGGCTTATGATATGACCGGATAATAGCTGCTGCTGGTGAATTGGATGAAGGAGATGCAAGTAGATACTAGTATAGCTATTAGAGGTTTTGATGTGTGGTATGGGAGGTGCCTTTTTGTTGTTTTGATTTTGTGTGTAACCTGCTTCTGGATTTTGATAGCATTTGATCTGGTTTGTAAACTTTGTGGAGCAGAAAAAATGTTAGGGTCCTCTCTAAGCACTGCTTCTACATCTAGCAAAACTTTCTTTTTGAAAGCACATTAGAATTTGGTTTTAAGTCGATAAATTATACTTAAACTATACTTAGTATAAATTGGATTTTTATTCTCTAACATTTCTCATTTTAGTTTTTGTCTGTTGTTTAAGAGCTCTCTCATGTACTGTGCTTCAGAAGATAAAGTTCATCCCGTTTCTTGATACTGTTAGTCGCATATTCTTTCTTTTCTTGTATTGTACCTAAGAGATTGTTGTATCTTCCTTATATTTAAGAATTCTGCATTTGCACAACTTAATTGCAAAAATTTAAAAGCATTACTTGGGAAGTTTTGTTATAATCATAATTAACTCTATGTAGTTTTTTTCACTAATGGTAGCTAGGATATATTTTGTTTGTATTAGATGCACAATTCTTTTTTGAGTTACTTTTCAGCAATAAGGATTAGTCTGTACATGTAATTTTCTGCCCTACTTGAGCAGCCTTTTGACATTTAAAGCAAAAATCTGCAGAACAATACAAGAGAATTCCCTTCTTAGTCTGTCTCTGTTTATGAGTAGCTAATATCTGGTTGTTAAATTTTATTTCCTACAGCTATCAGCCAATAGTGGATTATGTAGATGCACAATTTGAAGCCTATCTCGAGGAAGAACTGAAAGTTATACGTTCTTTATTTAGCTACCATGATACTCGCATCCATGTCTGCCTCTATTTCATTTCACCTACAGCCCGTTCTCTAAAAACCATAGATTTGTTAACTATGAGAAGCCTAGACAGTAAGGTAAGACTTGGAAACAGTTCCAAGAATTTGTCTTACTTTCTAAAGCATCTTGTAGTTTTTAGGTCCACTACCATCTTTCAGTTCTATATTGATGCATTTGGTTTTGTAATGTTTTTTTGCTGCTGATATACTTTAAGTTCAGAATAAATGGGCTCTGCAAGTAGCTTGCAGTTCATCACTGGTTTATTTACAAATCAAAAAGAGAGAGACATATAGCAAGAACACTGAAAAAAGAAGCTTAACAAAGTTTAAAAAATACTAAAAAAAGTAGAACCACACCAACTTTACTTTTATTAAACCGTAAACATTGTAGTGAGATTGGATAGGGTAACCTTCCATAAGTGCTGTGCTATTTCTAATTAAGATTGTTTCTAGTTTTGGGACTGCTGGAAAGTTGGCATATAAAAAGCTCTGCAACACTGTGAAGATCTTTGTTATAGATAACTGAAGAGGCATGAAGAGCCATGAACAGAACACCCTGCCAATGTGGCTTTTTCTGTGATAAGCTGCAGTAGTGTTTTAACATATTGATTTGTTTAGAAGCTTTAAAATAACAGTTTCTAGTGAAATTACTTGCATTTCCTAAATCCTTAACTTTCTTACTGTAATAGGGCTGTGTGAAGCTAAATGTTTAACCTATTTTAAGAAACCTGATATTATTTGGATTTAATTTGTTGAAATGTTGAAAATTTTGAAAACTTAAATGCATTTGCTGTGCTTTTTGCCTTTTTCTTTGTGCTGTACTAGAGCACCTCCTGCTAAATTTTCTTCCTGCATTTTCTTCTGAGGAAGAAGAAAAAAACAAACTTCTGAGAAGTTTTTCCAAGATAGCAAGGATCAAGTCGGCTGTCTAGTCCACATTTGTGGTTGATAAGCACATTTGGAATTTTTGTTAGTTTGTTTGTTTGATTCTGAACTTCTCAATAGCAGAGGAGGGAAGGTATGGTGGTACAAAGTAGGGGAGAGCACATTTCTGTGTGCTATGTTGTTGGTTTCTGAGTTGTGCTCTTTACTGAACTTCCTTTAAAACAGTGTTTCTTTCAAAAGAAAAGGATATAGACTTCAAATTCCGGCATCCTAAAAAAATGTTTCCATCAGGATAAAGCAAAAGTAATTCTGCTTTGGGGAATTTTGGCTTCTAGCCACCTACTGCAAAATTTTTTAATTCTGCGTTGGCACAGAGAGAGCATAAACCACATGTAACTCTGGTGTTTTATCCCTTTGCAATGGATTCTTTCTGATCTTACTACAGAAATATCCATGTACACACAGAAAGAGTTATATGCTTTAACTGTAGTTTTGTTTCCATCTTGTTGTGGAGTATATTCGTGGTGCTTTTAGTACTGCATTCTTCTAGTGGCAATTAAGAACTTGAAATTTCCCAGGATGTGGGGAGTCCCTGGGTGTATTCGCTGACTACACGATTCCATAAAGAGAAGATGGTGCAGCCACATGCATCCATCAAATGTGTAAATCCATGTCAAAAGCTGTCTTGAGTTTCTCCCTAAACCCACTGCAGTGTACACTGTGTGCTCTTGTTACAGTCTGCTGCTACAAAACAATAGCAGATTATTGTTCTTGGTAGATCAGAGGTAGAGAGGGTTCTTGGAAAAGATTAGGTTCATCCTGTACTCTGCAGGCCTTGAATAAAAAGACAGAGTATCTATGGTCAATTTCTTTTTCTCTATTATGAATTGGATGACTAGCTAAGAATTTGGACTCTAGCATTTAGATACTGGAAAATCTTCTAGTTTGCTTACGATGGCATTACTACAGACCAGCCAGGTTTCATTCACAGACAAAGGGGATGTTTTCCTCTACTCTTTCTTGCTGGAAATAGTGATTATTCAACTAAGAGCTCTGCAATTCTAATTCCGTCTCACAGAGTTGTATGCAGGTTATGGTTAAGTCAGTAAAATATAATGGAGATTTAGTTTGGTTTTTTTCCCTTCAGAAAGAATCTTCAGAAATTTTGATACTGATTCACAGAGGTACACTTAAATCAGCCTGCTCCTGCAACCAGCAATGATTTAAATTACATTTATTTCTGTTCCTTCTTTGTTGCTTATTTAAAACCAGTGTTAATTTTATGCTTTTCAATTTTTGTGCAATTGTGGTGATTTAATGTCAATGTTGATAGCTGTAATCTCAGTTTCTGATGATTTTGCGTTTTACTCTTCTTGGTAGACTTTCTCTGCTATTTGTTTTCTGTTTTCGAAGAAATTTTCTCTGAATTACTGAGTGCTTGAAAAGCGTTCACATTGAAAAGACAACTTTCATGTTGAAGAAGAGTAGAGGTTAATTTAATTCTGAGGACTCTGTGTTCCATCCATTTTTAGACGTATACTGGAGAAAATCTGCGTTGTTGTCCCTCAGCTAATTTGATTTGAAGGTGTGAATTACTCCTAGTGCAACAGATTGTTTATACAATTCTAAATGAGTTCAATTATTAGAAAAATATATTCCATAATTTTATTTGAATTTAGATATTTTACCCCATATATGCTTAGATCATGTATGATGCAAAATTAAGGACTACCATCAGGTAATCCTGGAAGTCATACTTCAGAGCTGGCTTGCTTCTTTTTATTTGGGACATACTGTTTAAGATGGAAGTCTTATTTGAAAAAGAACCATTTTGAATCTGTTCTTGATATTTAAGCATTTCCATTCAGGCAGAATATTCAGAAGAATAGAAAGTGTATATGTTGTTTTGTTTTTTTTTCTTTTCCTCTCCTTCCTTTTTGCATCTGTGATAAAGGAACTCTGTAAAACACTTCATCTTCTGAAATCCGTAAGAGTTATTTATGTCGTTTTTTCAAAATATTTGGATATTCATTATTTCCATTTAGTTCCATTTGGGCATTCATTATTTCCATTTAGTTCTGAAAAATGTGTATGTTGGGAGTGGTGATAGTATTTGTAAGAAAAAATTGGCATCTATTGCTTCCAAGTTACTGCCATCACTATTTTAGGAAATAGGGCAGTTAATTAGAACTGAATTCTGTGTTCTGAATAATTAGTTTAAAGACTGGTAAGCAAGAAGCTTTAGCCTTTGTTATTTCTCCGCTCATGTCAGATAGTGGAGAAACTGTGCTGCATTGGTGAGGTGAAGATGATGTAGCTGAAAGGACCCCAAGGAAGAGGCTTGGGGTAGGCAGGGTTTGGTAGCCAGCTTCCTTTTCTTTCTGTATTTAGACTGCCAGCTTTCATTTAACACCTGAGCCATGTCCCCTGCTGCTATAAACTAAACAATCTGATTTTTTTAACAGGGATATAAATACTTAATGGCATTTAGTTAATAAGTAGGCATTGCTTGCATTCGAGTACTTTGCTCTATGATACCTCCTTCCTTGTTCTTAGAATCAATTTTAAGGGAGTATATTAAATAATTGGTTGCTAGTTAGTTAAATGATGCCCATGAGAATATTTTTCATTGTTTGTCAAAATTTGATATCAATTGATGGAAAGGTTTGGACTGCGGAGGAAGTTTTAAACAGCTCATTAAAAACCAATTCTATTTACAAAAAGTTGCCACCTCAAAATAGAAGTCTCACTCATTTCATATAATTTATGTCATTCATAGGTGAACATTATACCAGTTATAGGCAAAGCAGACAGCATTTCTAAAGCTGAGCTACAAGAGTTCAAGAAGAAAATAATGAGTGAATTGGTAAGCAATGGCATCCAGATATACCAGTTTCCTACTGATGATGAAACTGTTTCTGAGATTAATACCATCACAAATGTAAGTAAATGACAAAAATATTGATATTTCAGTACTAAAACATCATTCTCTAATGCTAATTAATGTCACTGCTACCACCATTGTCTTTAAGTTTGTAAGTTTGCATGTCACGAGTTTGTTTTTTCTTCTCCTTAAAAAGCTCTTATTTCTTGGGTTTTTTTTTCCCCTACTTGCAAATCTTCTTGCTCCTCTGCTGTTGATACCTGTTGATACCAGAAAAGAGGTTCTCATGCATAAATGATTTTTCTAATACCTGGTTAATTAATACAAAATTACTATTATAGATGGTGAGATTGACTTTGCTCTTTTTCTCAACAGATACAATTTTACATCTGGTAGCGAAGATATTTAGGTGCCTCATGTCTACAATAACAAGTCTTACACTTGCTTTTTTTCTTTTATTTAGCAATTTCTTTTGAAATTAGGACAGATTTTCTCTGGGGATGAAGAAGTCAGATGTAACTCTGGCTTATTTTCCGTTGTCCTTTCCGACTGTCTCAGGGGTGGCTGCCAGCTCTCAGCTAAGGCTGTGAAGCTAGATGGCTTTGCCTTGAGCACTCTGTATTTGCTGCTCGCTTGCATGTGTTTGTAGGTACACATGACCATGTTTGTGTGTAGGGGGGGTTGAAAGTAGGGAACAGGAGCCAGGATGCTGGAGCCCATGGCTGTGCGTTCCCAGCCTATGTTTCCTGGCCAGGGAGTGAGAATGTGCAGCTGTCCATCAGTAGCAGGTCCTTTTGCTGTGGGGAAATGTGGTGGTTTGTTACTTACCACTTCTATGCTCTGCTAGTGATTTATTTTCCAGGTAATGGTGTTTCTTTATTCGGTCAGCACACAGGCATTCAGTGCCCAGCCTATCTTTGTGCCAAGCCCACAGCAGTAACCACAGCACAGGTTCCAACTTGTGATTGTCATGTGTTACTGGGATATGAGCTCTGACTGAATGTGAGGCCTATGTTCTAGAGCAGTTTTCTGTTTGGGGCTGACATTTCCTAGTGCAGCTCAGGATGTAGTTGGCTGCCTTTGTCAGTGGGACAGACCTGCTGACTCAGGAACAACCTGCTGTTCACCAAGTCGTTGCCACCATGTCTTATTCTGCAAAGTGCCCTTCCAGGCAGTTGGCCCCCAGCATGTACTGGGGCATGGGCTTATTCCTGCTAACATGCAGGACTTAGCACTGCTCTCATTTCTACTCCATGAGGTGCCTATTGGCCCATTTCTCCAGCCTGTTGAGGTTCCCCTGAGTTGTCAATGCACCCATCTGGATCTGTCAACTGCTCCTGCTTCTATTGTAGTTTGAGTTTTTTATCAGTAGATACTGCCTGGCTGCTGATCTCCTAGGGGTGATACCTGGTTTTAAACTTCCTGTTGGCTTTTTCTGAAATTGTGTTTTCTTCCCTAATTTATTTCTGAAGTGTTTTTATATTTTTATATGAGTGCTGACAGATAAGACTTAATTGGTACCACTCCTACAGGGTTATTTGCCATTTGCTGTGGTAGGAAGTATGGAGAAGGTGAAAATTGGAGACAAAATGGTGAGAGCTCGTCAATATCCTTGGGGCATTGTAAAAGGTAAAAGAATTCTTAAAAGTATTTTTAGAGATTTTTGCTGTTGTTGAAGTATAAAATTCACCAATAATAAAAGGGGCTATTTCACTGATGCCAACCGGATTATATTTTGAATCAACAGTATAAGGAATTTAGCAATTAATACTTGAGGCATGCACCAACTTGTAGTTTCGTCCACACTGACACATTCTTGGGATTAAGGTATGAGATGGTGTGTGTAGTATTTGGGCTGGTTAGGATAGTGGCAGTACTTCTAGCACTACCAAATTTCAAACATTTGTGGTTGTCAGTAAAGAGGGTTAAAAGGGAGAGAAATGTGGTGGTGTTCAGTTCAATCAGGAAATCAGGACAGTTGAAATATGTTCACCAGTACTTACAGGACTTCAGTGTGTATATTAGAAATTATAAGGAATAAACAACCTTTTCCTAGAAGTATATTTAGTGAACAAAGTAAGTTATGATGTTTAAAAAGTATTTTGACCATTTTGCTACTTCTGCATAATAATCAAATTTTCTTTTTACTGATTAGTGGAAAATGAGAACCACTGTGACACTATAAAGCTTCGCAGGATGCTTTGCACAAATATGGAAGACTTAAAGGAGAAGACTCGTGAATATTATGAGTCGTACAGACGCTGCAGGCTGGAAAAGTTGGGTTGCAGAGACCTTGGCCCTGAGAACAAACCAGTCAGGTAAAGGACTTGGTGTGCAGTGCTTGCTTTCAGCATCCATTCACTTCACATCATCCAAGTGCAGAGCAGCTTTGATCCATAAAATAAGTATTCTAAGAAGGAAAGAATATTTTTTTTTTATTGAAGGATGTAGCTGTTCATTCAGTTACCTTCATGGAGAAGTATATAGGTTGAAATGAGCATTCTTTTTAAAAACATGAAAGCCAGTTGTATTTCTGAAATCTTCTATGATACACCTGAGGATTTTAATTTTTCTCAGGAAGAATGTCTGGTTTCTTTAGATACTTGTGCTTTATGAACTTTTAAATTATTTTCATAATATATTAGTATTATGTTTTACTTTCTTTCTTAAGAATGTCTGATTATAAATAACAGTTTGGTTGGACTCCAGGTTCAGAAGGAACTGAAGCAAAAACTTTTACAAAATAAGTGGTTACACTGTTGACTTCCCACATTATCTGCCATAATAACAAATGTCTTAGCATTTTCAGGTTAAGAAATCTCTTGCTGGACTGTAGGGAGTTAAAAGAGTATTCCAAAGGAAAGTTAAGGTTATAGACACTCAGTTGTTTCATGTAGTGAAGCTGCTTTCTACAGGAAGGATTTAAAATTTTATATCTATTTTGTTTAATCATTTATTTCCAGTTCTCTCATCTCTCTCTTCCAGCTTCCTTTGTTTGTTTGTTTGTTTGTTTTTTATGCATGGGGCTGTACTTTTAACTGGTCAGAATCCTGCTGGGGAAGAGCTGATGCTTTGTGAGTTGTTCAAGCCTTCATGGTTTAGTGAAGCACCGTTGTTACTGTGTAGTCATGGTGGGAAATACTGACTTAAACCCAGCATGAAAACAGAATAAGACTTTGCATTAAAACCAGTTTCTCATTGTTTGAATCGAGACACATTTGCAGATTAGTTCATTGAGGTGGTGTTGAGCTGACCTTGAATCAGTGGTCTCTTGACATTTCTCTTCACTTAACAAGAATGTAATACATCCTTTTCATAAAAAGAGAACCAAAGGTGAAAGAGGTTTAAAACCAACTGAAATTAACCATAGCATTTTCATTTGGTTTACGTTTAAGTTTAAGAACATGTGTTAATAGCAGATGTCTTGTTATCCTTGTCTAGGGAAGATTTTTTTTTTAGAGATTTGTTCATGGCAATATTGACTCCAGTTCCTTCAGCTTTTCTGGAGCTCTGTTTCATGGTGTACAGCCATCTCAGGATAAGAGTTGAATTATAAAAACCAACATCCATAGAAGTGTTTTCTTCTACAAACAAAGGAATTATCTTTGTAAAACCCCTACACAGTTTGTGTTTTGTAAACAGCCTGAAGTGGCAGGTTCACATCAGAATGTCCCAGTATTTTAACAGTTAAGAGCTCATTTAGAAGTTGTCTGCAACTTCTGTATATCCAAGTTTTTTGGATATACAGAAGAGCTGTGTTCTCTCTGGTGTGTAGATTTTACGCATGGCCCACCAGATGTCAGTTTTATTGAGAGAGTTTTGGCAAGAAGGTACACTTAGTAATTAGTTTTGGTAAATCAATTTTATTGAAAATGCCTTTTTTTTTTTGAAGGATAAAAATAGATATCCCTTAAGAATCTAGAAAAATGAACTTTTTTCCCAGATTTACTGCTACAGGAAGAGAAAAGCAAGACTAGGATAGATGTGGTCCCACAGTAATGTGGCATAGTGAATGACACTGATGTCTGAGAGAGAAGGTGTTTGGTGTTTTGAGAGACATTTTATGATACTATTAAAAAGGAAGAGAATTTAGAGGATGTGCATGGAGTGTAATTAACAGTTTAATGCAGCCTTACCCATAAGATGTTTTATCAAGTTCTGAGGAAACAAAAAAAGTGTCATCCTCAGCAATGTGATAGAAAATGTCTTTTTACATAGAGGAAGTTCAATGCTTCCAAGTTTGCTTGTACATAAAAAAAAAAAAAATTAGATTAGGGACTATCCAGTTGTTTTGGGCAAAAATGTGTTTTTAAATTGTCATCCTCTTTGTCCTTAAAGATGTTTGCAATATACATGCGGATTCTAAGACCTGTAGTTTTAGACTATAATTAATATTGCATAGCAGTATTTGCCTGAAGATAAAAATTTCATGCTAGTTGTATAGATAATGATCAAAATGCATGTTGAGAATTCATATTTTGTGCCTGTGATGTAGCTGTCTACATATTAAATTTGATAATAATGTAAATTTAGAAAACCTTTGCTAGGCTTGAGTAATTGGCTGTTTGTAGCATTTGAACACTGACACTTGAGTAGCAGAGTGCCTTGCCTTTTGGCATATTGGGCTAAAGCTGCCTGTGAAGTTCCTGCACTACCGTTTTGGATTTAGAAGTAGGATGGTAGCTTATTCATCCAAAATTGTATGCCACTGCAAGGCAAAACCAGTAATTCTTGGATGTCTAGCTATCTTAGGTTGTGGGCAGACATCTGTAAAGCCTTTCACTCTCCCTTGTGTGTAAACCACTTACGCTTTTACATGTGTGTAAAAACCTGTTGGCAAGTTTTACTTTTTTTATGGGAGATGTGGAAAGAGATGGTTTCAGCATACGACAGAAAAATATATTTGCATGTTTATTACTGGGGCTGAGAAGGGAAAAGAAAGGTAGTCTGAACTGACTGTCTTGTGCACACCTTTAAAAACACCTATTTCTGTATTTTTGGTGAAGCTATTTCATAATAACTTTTTGTTTGCAATTGCATTCTAAGAATGAAGTAATGAAGTAAATGGATAACAGTATTTAGAGTGTGGTTTATGCATTTTATGCAGTATTTGTTTGATATAAAATTCAGAAGTGAATTTTTTATAATTTTCTAATTTTTTTGCTGCTTAAAATTGGCATTTGCATTTCTTTGTTGTTGAAAAGTAAATATAAGCTTTTGTGTGTGTCTGTGCAGATGGCCTGGTCCTGCCTTTTTGATGGTCCAATTATGTTTGTTAGGAACGTGAATTCCTAGTCTCAGGTCATTCTCAGCAAGAGATAATTGCTGAGGTGTTTTGAGTGGTAAAATTTGGAAAAGTTTGAAACCGAAATCTAGACATGAAGAGTGCTTCCAGGAAAACAAACTTCTAAAAATACATGCACACATACCTAGTTAGCCTAGGTGTTTGCAAGGGAGGAGAGGATTGCTAGGGTTTTGAAGTTGGACATTTTGTTAAGTCCATTTTTCAATTTAAGTTGTTGCCTATGGGCACATTTTTTGTTTTGAAAGAAGAAAACTGAAAGACCAAGATCTGTTGAAAAAAGCTGAGGATTGACATTCAGGCCAGATGCTTATGTGTTTAGATTTGCTGATGTTAATAATTCTCTGGGTTAGTTGTTTTTCTGTCATTGTGATTACAATTTGTTCTCCATTATAATTGCAATTAATTGCAATTAAAGACTGTTGTAGCATAAGCATCTTGGTTTCTCATTCCTTGCTTTTTTTTTCCCCAGAACTGGGATATTCAGGCCTTGCAGTTCTTGAACTTGTTCGTTTTTCAGTCTGTTTTGAAGATGATGACAGAAAACCAGGAAAGATTCAGTGACATGAAGAAGTTTATAGGTAGAGGAAGGTTGATGTGACTCTTGTCATGTCTAAGAAAAAAACCTAGTATTTGAAAGGCTGTTAGACCTTTTCCTTAAGAAGTCCTTGGCAATGGAGTTCATCTGACCAGCTGCAGACCTTTGCATTTGAGCTAAATATTTTAACCATCTTAGAATGAGATTGGACCACACCCAAAATACCTGGTTTTCTTGCCACTACTGAAAAATTGATAATTCTTTAGGTCTACCACATCCTTATTAGTGCTCAGTATCAACTGAGCTAGTTGACTGAATCAAAGCACAGTTACCTGCCACCAGTTAACTTCTTTTTAGTTTTTTTGATATACCTAATTAATAGTCAAATGTTCTGCAAATAGTTACAAGTGTTACTTCCAAATTTGAAAGCTTTTAAAAGTGTAATTGAATGAACTTTAAATACCTGTGTTGTTCAATGTGCACATTGTGTTCCACTGAGAGTTAAATTCACTTCAGAGTCTTTATTTATGAACATAATGTGTCTAATTTGCAATTTTAGGCTTCCATGCTTTCAGTCTCATGCAGACAGAAAAAACTGTCACAGCTGTGCTGTGGTAGTGAAAGGCAGGTGGTTGTGCTGGTATGTATGATTAGTTTAGACTTTCTTCATAATCCCTTACTACAAAACCTCAGTAAGAATACATTATTTAAATAATTAGTTATGACATTTAAATTTTGTGTCCTTGTACAGAGTATTACATTCTGGATTTCTAAGCCAGAAAAATGAGAGTACCTGTGAACTTGATTTTCATAAGATGCTAAAAGAAAAGCAGCGAAAACTATGAGCAGTGAATGAAGTAATGTTGAAAGGACTGGCTTAAGATGGAGTGAACTGTTTTTCCTTCCTCCCCAAATCTCATAACACTTAAGAGTGTTTGGGTTATTGTTTTCCTGGTATGACATGCAGAAAAGGAAATTTTGGTTTAGTTCTGTCTTGGTGATTCCCAGAACAATTCAGTCCAGGGGGAGGGGGTATTTCATGGAGTCATAGAATGGCTGGGATTGAAAGAGACCTCAAAGACTGTCTAGTTCCAACGCACATGGATAGGAACACCTTCACCAGAGCAGATTGTTCAAAGCCCCATCCAGCCTGGCTTGAAAACTTCCACACTTCCACTTGAACATGTACTAGCATCCACAACCACTTGAAAAATAAATGTAAAAAATACACTTTTATTTATCTTCTTCTTTTTATTTGTAGTATGATTATTTACTGAGTTAGTGTCTTCAGGTTAATATTTTACTAATTTCAACACAAAATTGCTTTTACCTGATAAAGTAACCTAGTCTGGGTCTAAAGATGTCTACACAAAGAAATGAAGGTGTGATTGTAACATGTTAACTTAGTCTAGCATTTGCTCTAGCAGCTTTATCATTCCCAAAGGCAGCATTTTATCTATCAGAACTGACAGTGTGTGCAGAAGCGTGTATAGTGTGAGATTGCTAGCAGTGGGAAAACCTGTGCTGTAGCATTATTGTCTAACTTAGAGATAGTGTGAATTAATGCATCTCTGTGAAAACCGTGCCCCTGTTTCTTGTGGATTTAGGGATTTAGAATTTCAGGGTGCTCTAAGTTATTTCACAGCTGATTAAAAGCCCTCAAAACAAGCCCAAACACAAAAGGGTAATTGTTCTGAATTAATTTTGTTGCCATGTAGTGCTTGAATAAGACAGAAAAGGAGGAGTGCTCTGACTTTGTTATCTTAAGAACATTGTCTGCATGTGCAATTTTAAGATGTTTCTTCTCTCTTTTGATGATATTTTGAATACAAATAAGAAACTTTAGGATTGAGAAACTGCACAGTCACCATAAATTTAAAGATAGAGCTGTTTAAGAGTAGTGTTGCTCTAAATAATTAACTCTTTAGGTTTTTTGGATTTTTTCATTTATAAATGGTTTAAATAGAAACAGTAAAAGACATGACAAAAACATAAGTGTGTATGTATATTAAAAATATAAATCAAAATGAAATACTTAATATACATACCTATTTATTTTACATGAGAGTGGAAGGTATGAGTTACCTGGCAAAGGACAGTAATTCATGTTAGCTGGGAAAGGGTGACCAGTCAGCACTCAGCAAGTGCTAGAAGAGATGAAAAGTGTAAAGAACAGCCCCAGAAAAAAGGCTAGAATATTATCCACGGTTTTACCTGTTCTTAAGCCAAATGTCATAGAAGACAATGCTTTTGAGTTTCCAATAACCATGAAAACAGCTGTGGTCCTCCAGTGCTCTCTGAAATCGTGTGACTTAGAGAGGTTTATGGTACATGTTTTGATGGAAGAATTTGTGTCATTAAGCAGGTTTTCTTTTCAAACGAAGTTTGGTGTATGAAGTACATCCGTGTACAAGCTCCATTTGTATTTCTTGAAAAGCACATTTCCCACCAGCACTGCCTGGCAGTGGTAGTATAGGCTCTGAAAATGTCAAACCTCTAGTAGTTTGTTCATATGAATAAATTACTAGCATCTTTTAATTTGCCATGATATGCTTTGACATGAAAGAAGTCTCTCAATTTCAAGAACCTGTTGTTTGGAGGGAAAAAAATTATCTTGTGTACTGAAAATAGAAGGGAGGCATAGATTTAAAAGTAAAGAAACATTTGATTTACCTGCTGACTTGTTTGTGGTTTGGTTTGTTTTTTGTTTTTGTTTTTTTTTTTTTCCAGAGATTGATTTTCTCAATGATCTGAACTAATTTACTCCTCCTATATGGTTTCAAATATAAGTATAGTATATATGCAGTTTACTTACTTCTGGAAGAGAGGGTTCAGGAAAAAACAAGCAGTCTTGAAGTTTTGGATGTTGCATGTTGGAAAGTAACCCTGTGTTTTGGATGTTACACTATTTAGGAAATTGAATTCATTCTATAGTAATATAATTTAAATTTTGACATTAAAAAAAGAGTGGTATATGTTTTGAGGATCCTGTTATTTTCTTCCATTTTCATATAGGAACAACCAGTTTTTTGTTACATTAGTGCTCTAGATTAATTATTTTTGTGTGGTCCTACTTGAAGATTGAGGTTTCAAAATGTGGACATTTTGGGAGATTTTTCTGGCAATTTCAGTGTCTTAGTAGTAAGCAACTTAAAGAAGAAGCTTATGCATGTTGGAGTCAGAAAGGTATAAATCAAGTCTTTAGAACATGAGATGCCTAAAGTGTTGTATTTACTTTGAAATGTAAATTGCCGAGGAGCTGTTAGCATAAGTAATTTTACTCAGGGTTGTTTATGTAAATAAAAAAATAGAAAGATAAGATGCTTGCTTCTGTTTAGGTTTCTTCTTGAAGTTTTATGTTGGAAGCTGTAGAAATTAATATTTCAGATGAGTATTAATTGTTTAAATAATTTTCTAGATTGTTGGTTTTCCACACAGAATAAAGCAGCGTGCTGCAGAGTTGCTTACATTTTTGAACTTCAGTCTACAGGAAGTCATTGAGACACAGAGGCTCGAGTTCTGCCTTGAAGTGGAAAGAAAAGAAGAGGAGATTAAGCAACGATTTGTGCAGAGAGTGAAGGAGAAAGCAGCAATGTTGGAAGAGGCAGAGCAACAAGCAAGCATGCCTGTCTGTCTTGAGTTTGTTTTCTGAGATTTGGAACAACTAAGTTCTTAACAAAATCCCTGATTGATATTTATAATTTCCTAATATTTTGAGGACAGTAATGCTTTAAATCAAAGGCAGTTTGATTACACAAATTGATTGGATTAGCAGATTAATTAGACACCAGCAAACAAGAGAATATGTCTTATGAGGAGCAGCTGAGGGAGCTGGGGTTGTTTAGACTGAAGTAAAGAAGACTCAGGGGAGAGAGACTTTATTGCTCTCCATAACTACCTGAAAGGACTATAGTGAGTTTGGGGCTTGTATTTTCTCCCAAGTGCAAAGTGACAACAGGAGAGGACGTGGACTTAAAGTTGTGTCAATGGGAAGTTTGGATTGGTTATTAGAAAAACATCTTCACTGAAAGGGTTGTTAAGTGTTGGAGAACAGGCTGCCCTGGGAAGTGGGGAGCCACCATGCCTGCAGCTATTTAAAATATGTGTAGATGTGGCATTTGGGGACATGGTTTAGTGGTGGACTTGTCAGTGCTGGATTCATGCTTGGACTTGATGATCTTAAAGGTCTTCCCCAGCGTACATGATTCTGTGATTCTATAAATGGATCTTGTTTTGGGAAGGCAGGAGCTTATGGTCTAGAGGCTTTAGTGGGTGTCTGGTAAGCATCTGTAGAGTAGGAGTTGATATGGTGCAGTAAGAGACTGATGAATATAATGGCTGTGTTTCTTTGTCTTCTCTAGCAGTGTGCTGAGAAACATTGGTATGCCATAACAACACAGCAGGTGCTTTTTATGCATAGACTGCTCTGTAAAAACCAAGATTTTAGGAAAAAGTCTTTCCTGAGGCTTTTCAGAGTGGGCCATGTGGGTTTGCCCGACTTCAGGATTCAGCTATTAAATCTAAGCTTAGCCCTCATGCTGAGAGGTTTAAAAGTGTGTAAGTCTGATATTCTGTTGGTCTGTTTCAGTTCTGGTTTCAAAATCTCATCTATTTCCAGCTGCCTTAAGACTGTTTGAAAATATAGACTATATCTTGTCTCTGTTTTTGAAGATTTAGTCCTGTCAAGCTGGACTAGCAAGATAGGATCTCCTCATCTAGTTTCTGCCAGACTCTTATCATGGTCATGTGTATTTATATTCAAATACTGGTTTAATTGAAATTGGAAACCTGTGCATTTTTATGAATGTACTTTTCTGTATGTCAGTCCCCCAGCAAAGCCGTAGCAGGTTTTTTGAGGTGTTCAGGTGCATGTTTTAAATAAGAAGGCAGCTTAATATTTGTTTTCTGATTCTGTTAAGACCCCCTTGCTACTTGTAGAAAAAAAAAATCAGATTTAGTCCTTCGCAGTATGAAGCTGTCCAATTGGAAGAATGCTTAGCCATGTTCAAAGCAGCTTCAGCAAGATCTGACCTTTGATATTTTTGTTGTATGATTTATACCAAGTGGTTTGTTAACTCTGCATATTGCAGAATCATGGATATTACTTTTCCAAGTTCCTGATGTGGGAAAGTGATCATGTAATCACTCCTAAAGAACATTTGTCATGTACTCTTACTGCTCTATTTGTATCTGGAAACTAAAGAAGACCAGGAATTTCTGTTGAATTTCAGATTTCTTTCACATCCTTCATTTAGAGGAGACTTGCAGGTGCACCTATAAAATTTGTCAGGTCTGCTGTGTACAACAGGCATACTGTTACATTTATAGTCTTAGTTTCTTCTTTGCAAGGGCAGGATTCTATGAGAATTTGTTTGTGGGGAAATGAGAGATGAGGAAGGATGAAGTATCTCTTTTGTTGTCACATACAACTTTACAGGAGGTTTAAACTGGTTAAAATAGATCTGGAAACTAGAATGCATTAATATGTCAAAAAACCCAATCAAAGAGCTGAAAAGTAGGTAGCTTCTTGCAGCCCACCGGTAACTCCCCAACCAGACTAACTCTGTGTACTTACTAATACTTAAATCTGATCAATATACACTTCCCCACTATATTCTACTTGAGTCATCTTGATTTAATCTGTCTGTTGAAAATAGGTTCATCTCTAAAGGCCTCCTTTTTTGCTACAATAAAGATACAGTAAAATGTAGTAGGGAATCGAGTATTCACTTAGTGCCTTCCATGTTTTCCACCTATACTTTGAGTGTAGTAGCCAGGATCATGAGAACAGTCTGATAAAAGTTTTTGTTTTTCTGTATTGTTGCTTTTTAATCTTAACAGTTTAGGAAAATAACTGCAATTTCTAATGACCATTAACACAAGCTGACATGGGTTTTAGTGTTATTTTGCTGAGGGTTTTTGTATTGTAATATCACCACCTTGTGTTGCCAGTTGGAAATGTTATTTTTTGTGCTTTCTTTAAATAGGTACTGACTAAATTTGAACGTCTTACACTAATGCATCAAGAAGAGGAGCTGAAATTAGGGGAAGAGAAAAAACGTCTAGAAGATGAAATAGCTCAGTTTGTTGAAAAGAAGGCTATCACTGAATCGATTCAGTCACAAGTATCTGTCTCTACCCCTAGTGTTAGTTTGAAGAAAAAAGGACTGCGAAAAGTAAGTGCTGGTACCAGTCATCACAGGGCAATGAGAAAGTTCTTCACATTCACTTTTATAACTCAAATTTCAGTAATCTTTTAGAAAAGACAGATGCTCCTGTTCTGTGATAAGAAGACAGAAGTGTATAAAATACCCTCATGCTTGGATTTACTTTTAGAGTAATTGCTATATGTTCTATGAGCATTGTTTTATCTTTCTTTTCTTTTTTTCCATGAAAGAACCAGGATTTTCAACTTGAAGTCCAATGCTTTCATATCAGAGATGAAGGAACTATGAATGATGGAGAGCAGAGCGAGAGGGAGAGTGAGAAGGAGGAGTTAGAGAGAGAAATTCACCCAGGAAATTTCAGGAATAGTATTTGATTGCAGCACTCAGGTTTTGAATGGTAGGGTATGTTAGCAGTTTTATGAAGTGGTCTAACTGCTGTTGGCCCATATTAGATGTGTCTTCCTAGTACAGGTTTTTGAGAGAAGAGATTGATAAAATTGGCTGTAAAAACACGAAATGCAGAATATGACCCAATAAAGATTTCACTTTCTCCCACCCCATACACTTCTTTCTTTCACTACTCTCAAAATAAAAACTTGAATAAATTGTGAAAACAGAGAAATACTTTCAAAAGTAGTGTCCAGAATAACATGCTCAACTGATTTATATTAAAAGCATTGAATTAAATATTAATATATTAAATGAAATTGACTTAAATGTTTTTCTCCTCCAAAACCAGAAGTCAATTAACTTATTAATTTTCTTTCCTGATAATTTAAAAATTTACTGCAGATAACATTTTGTTAATTAATAGCTTCCTGCAGTTGAAAACAGATTTCTTGGTTATGAATTTATTTAGAACTACTATATTCTGAAGAACTTTAGAAGCTTACATTGGTGCACATATCTCTACAGATATCATCAAGCTTTGACATTTTTGGGGTGTATGCTAGAAGCCTAATTTGGACAAAGTTTATTGCATTTCAACTACTGTTATCAAATTCCATTTCCTAGATTCCTTTCTTTCTGGATTTGCATATGAAAGTGGAATTCTTGGTTACAGAAGTCATTATCTGCACTACTACGAGTAACTCCTCTGGTTTAGTTTTATTTCTTCAGAGTATGCTGCTAAATTTATATCCTTGCTGTGGTTTTTCAGTTCCAGCTTTATGTAGTACTGATGACAGAAGACACAATACTGGTAATTTCTCATGAGGAAGCAGTGATTCATGGTGTACTCTTGAAGGTATAGGAGTTCCAGTTTCTCTAATATCTCTTGTTGCTGTATTCTGCAAAAGAATCATTTTTAAGCATGGTCTGTATGCACACAGTGTGGTGGTTATTGTCATTGTTGTCACGGGGTTTCTGTTACAGCTCTGCCTTGATATATATTTGCCTTACATAAGTGTGGTCAGTTTGCTTTAATTTTAAATGCATTGTGCCAAAGAAGGTGTCTCTGCCACAAACAGTTCTATTCAGACTATGAACAGTGTAGTACAAAAGTATTCTGTGAATATATCCACTGCAAGCTTCCTGAAGAGTTCTTTTCAAATGGTATTGTTTATTAGTCCACTAAGTGTTATTTAATACAACTACTGACATATTTGAACCATCTACTGATTTTGCTGATAGATTTTTGCTTATAGGCTTTTATGTACAAGCAGTGTTCTAAATTTCAGATACAGTCTTTTTAATCAAAATTTACTGAGATATCTTTGCAATGCTGTACTGTTGCCGGATAGTTAATCTGGTATTACTAACTCAGTATGGAAAGTACCTATAGTTGATGGTTTTGAGTGTGGTATTTAGTTACAGTTGAAGATTTACAAAAACCCCAAGGTGGTTAAAACAAGTTCTAAGTGCTTTGTATGTTTTCAGTAGTCATGATAACTAATGGGAAACTATAAGAGGTACAGTTCTCTGGAGTTGTGTTGTTTGACTGTTTAAAAATTAAATACTAACTTGACAGAAATAAAATAGATTGGTTTTGCTTACGTATTGCTCTTGTTCTGCTTCTTGTCTCTCATATGTTATTAAAAAGGAGTAAGATTTCACATTTAACTGAAAAATATAAAGGTTTTACATCTGTTTTAAGTATCTTAAGTCATTTATGGATTGGAAAAAATAGATGATTTTTGTGAACTGTGCCAGAAGGGCAATGTGACTTGTGATACACTTGTCATATACCACTGTACTTACCATATAGTCATGGAACATCTCAAGTTGGAAGAAGACCATAAGGAGCTGGAAGAGACCCTTAAGGTTCATTGACTCCAGCTCTCTGCTCCTTGCAGAACTACCATAAAATCAAAACCGTGACTAAGAACAGTGTCCAGAAACTCCTTGAACTCTGACGGACTTGGTGTCATAACCATTGCCCTGGAGACCTGTTCCATCACCAACCTCACCTTCTATTTTACTCACACAGTGATGCATACCATATAATTTTAGAGGAGTGGAATAGACCTTAAAGAGCATCTAGTCCCAAGCCTCTGACATGGACAAGGACACCTACTATGGCTGCTCAGTGTTTCATCCAACCCGACTTTGAACACTGCCAGGGATGGGACATTCACAGCCTCCCTGGTGGCAACCTCTTCCAGTCCTCACCGCCCTCACAGAAAAGAAATTTTCTAATATCTAATCTAAATTTCCCCTCTTTTAATTTGTACCCATTGCTCCTTGTTCTGTCACTACAGTTCCTGACAGAGTCCCTCTCTGGCTTCCCTGTAGACCTCGTGCAAATACTGGAAGGTTTGTTCCACACAGCCTTCTCTTCTCTGGACTGAACAGCCCCAACTTTCTCAGCCTGTCTTTGTAGGGTAGGTGCTCCAGTCCCCTTATCAACTTTGTGGCCCTCCTCTGGATTTGTTCCAGCAGTGCCATGTTCCATCCAGAGCTGGATGCAGGACTCCAGGTGGGGTCTCACAAGAACAGAGTAGAGGGGCAGAGTCCCCTCCCTTTCCCTGCTTGGGATGCAGCCCAGGACGTGGTTGGCTTTCTGAACTGCGAGTGCACATTGCCTGCTCGTGTTGAGTTTCCATGTACCATCACCCCCAAGTCTTCTGCAGAGACTATTTTTTGTTTGACTTTTTACCTTTGGGCTGTTTGCATTTGTTGGATTAGAAAGAAGGGATATGCTTTTCTTTAAGGAGGTAACAGCGAAATGAAAAAGATTTTTAAAGTGATTTGGAATGTTCTGAAGTGATCTTGAACAGAATGTAGTAATAATTGAATGATGCGTGTTGTCAGCACTCAGTTATCTCCCAGTGTCCTGTCCCAGCTGCTGATGTTAGTTAGCTCAAGCACAGCTCTTGATGAGTGTTACAAAACTACAAAGACAGATTTAGCTGTCTGTAGTCTGGCCACTTTGCTGAGGACAGAGACTGAGAATAGTTAAGTACTGTTTGACCTAGATAGCTCTGCCTGGCTAGTGCTAGAGGATGTGCTGTGCTTTGACAGCTGGGAACCATGAATAGGGACATGTGGTACCACATGTCTTGGTCAGATGGGTTTCTGTGCACTTGCACGTGCTGGCCCGGCAGGACTCAGCAGCAAAACAAAACTGGTGCAGGCACCTGTGCAGGTCTTTGGAGCAGGTGACAATCAAAGAGGGTTGTTCAGTTGTAGCACAGAAACAACATAGCACAAAAGACAGCAGGTGGGTTTTCCTTTTCCTTTCCTTGTATTCGTTTAAGCAGTGGAGAATCATCTGTAAGTGGGGAAGAGTCCACTGTTTTTCTGTTTAAGTTTGCTCAAAGATGAGATACCAGCTAAAAGCACAAGTGCACATCACAGCCTGACAGTCAAATGTAATTCAAAGAATTATAAAAGAGCAACTAACAATATTGTCTGGAAGTGGAGAATTAATAGTGGTGGTAAATAAAAACATGTATGTCTCCTTGTGGTTTTCAGTTGGACACTTCAGAGAGGTTTATCCAACGCGTGTAATGGTTTCAGGACCACTTATTAAGGTCTCTTTATTGTTATGGTACCTTCTGCAAATGGCTGCTGCAAGATTACTTACACCATGTACAAATCTGAAGGCTTTGTTTTGGGTTTTTTTGAATCCTTTTCTTAAGGTTATTTTTTATATTTATTCACAACTGTATATTTGAAGTTACTTTGTCAGTAACAAGAGACAGCCAGTAAGGAGTTTTATCTTACATCTGGCTGACAGGTTGGGTTCAAAGTTTGGTTACATCAAACTGGCAGTCAGTCACCCCAAGGCTCACTTTTAGGGTCAGTACTCTTTAATGCTTTTATAAATGAACTGTACATAGGAGTTGAGTGCACATTAAGGGAGTTTACTGATGATACTAAATTTGGGAAGCTGTGTATTCCCTCTAGGATAGAGAGGCCTTACAGAGACATCTGGATATGGTACGGAGCTGTGCAGTCCCCAGCTGCTGGAAATTAACAGGAGCAAGTGCCAGCAATTCAGAGGAAGTTCAGACTGAATATTAGGAAAAGACTTTTCACTGGGAGCATGGTTGGAACAGGCTCCCCAGGACAGAGGTAATAGCACCAAGCCTGTCAGAGTTCAAGAAGCATCTGGAATATGCTCTTAGTCATATGGTTTAATTTTAGGTAGTCCTGCAAGGAGCAGAGACTTGGGCTCAGTCCTTATGGATCCTTTCCAACTTGAGATATTCTGTGATTCTATGATTTTAACTTATGGAAACACAAGCCTCTTGTAACAGCAGCAACATAATATTTTTGTAGAAGGAAGAATACTCAAAAGAAAAATGAATAATTTTTCAAGACCTTTGTGAAGACTTCTGCAATTCACATTCAATGAATCACTGCAAAAAGTATTTTAGTGTAATTCATGGATGGGTAAAATACTCAGCTGGATTTTTATGAAGTACTGAGGCATCTACGTCTCCACATTTTCTTTAATAAATGTATTTTTAAAAATCCAGACCCCAGCATCAAGGCAGCAAAACCCTGATAGTTAAATACAGAAACCTGCAGGATTTTAAAAGCAGACAAAAAAAGCTTCAACAGGATGTTCGCTAGGGTGCGCTCGAAGCACGTGGCTTTTGCTTTTGGGGAAGGACCGTGGCTCCCTGAACAGCCCCGTCTAGTTAAACCTGGTTTTGTCGAGGGGTTGTGTAGGTGGGCTCCAGAGGTCCCTTCCAACATCAGCAGTTACATAATTCTGTAGCTCTTTTATCACAAACATTTTTTCTTCAAATATTATGAAAATACTAACTTATTTCCTGTAGAAGCAAAGGTGTAAGCACAGAAGGCAACATTAAAGTAAGAGCAGAGAGAGCTCTGAGCTGATTGGTTGGTTGATTACGTGCTAGGGCATTAAAATTTCATAATTTGAAAACCTAAAAGTACAATTGCATCTCATTCTGAGCCAAAATCTTTTTAAATGGCTTCCTGGAAAGGTGTGAGAAAATAGCATATTTTTCTTGTTGAGAACTACAAGTGATATGTGTCAGGATGATTTCTGGGTGACAATCATGTGAGCTTTAGACTTTCTGAAAAAGAGTACTTATGGAGCTACACAAATGTCTTTTGGCAACAGATCTCTAAGTATCTCTTTATTTTGGGGGCACCTGTACTTGCAATCATTAAGGAGTAATCTCTCTGGGCATTTCAGTGTATCACAGTTTATAAGTGCAATTTTCATAAATGAGAAGCCCACCAAACCAATTATTTCAAAATTAAATTCTGGCTTCTGGCAGACATTTGCCTTTCTCTGATTTTCATATCCAAGTGTGAAGGATTTTCATATATTCCTATTCATATATACAAATCTGTACGTTTTTGTAAGCGTAGAGAGATGTGTCTCACACCTGCTGGTGCCTATGGATATATAGATCACTCACAGCACGTGGCAGAGATTAGCTAAGAGTGGGCCTTGGGCTGTGTGGTTCCTGATCAGTTCAGGAGACTATTCCAGTGCTTATCACTCGGTCTGGGTGCCTGCCTGCAGTGTCTGCATTGCCTTGGGCTGAGAGTCAGAAATCTTTACTGCCCCATTAGTCCACATACGTCTGGGGGGATGATTGTTCCTGCTGAGAAGAGAAAGCAGGGCAGAGTTCTCTGCAGGTTTTACACCTCTGTCCTCGCAGAGTGGAGATGTGGACCTACTCCTTTCTTTGGAAGATGTTAACTCCTTCACCTGAGGCTTACAAGGCAGCAGATTTGTAATCATCACCCCTTTGGAGAGAAGAGAGAATAATTGGCATGTTCAGAAAGATGATGAGAAGGTGCTGGTGTCTGCACAGCTGTTTTTCATGGCTTCTACTTCGGTTTCATTGGTAAGTCTGGGGAAAGGCAGAGACTGACTTCCATTGCCACTTGTGTTGGCAGTGTGAAGATGGTCAGTCCTTTGAGCTTCTGGGGAAACAGTGATCCCTGTGAATTTTGGCCGATCCAGCTGACAAGGTGTGCAGGCAGACAGGGCACACAGAACTCTGTCACAGGCTGTCCTCAAGTGTTTGTTATCCCCATCACATCATGGGGCGTGACAAGACTCATTTGAGTCCTGTCCTTGCAGGCTCTGGTGAAGAATGCATACCAGGTTAGAAACACAGCAGGCAGTACTGATGCACTGTGCAGAGGAATGCAAAATACCACTGCTGGTTTATGGCTGTGTTCACAGCAGATTAATGACATCCAAGCTTTGCCCCAAGGTCAAATCAATATATGCCCCTAATAATTTAAAATTTACAAATATGCAGTGTGAATACCTACATGTGAGAAATAATTCCATTGCCTGTCCTGGTGGGGTTTGAGATTGGCATTTGTATTTTGTGTCCAAAGTTACAGAAGTTCTTTTTGCCTATGCTAACTTATCAAGGGAAAAAATCTCTTAGGCAAATCAGAACATCTTCTAACTGCTTCTCAATCTTCATTGTATTTATTCTCACAAAATACACTAAGAAGTTAAAAGATACTGCATTGGAAAATGAGATCCACAGTGGGTAGGGATTTTAAAGAATATTTAGATTTTTAAAAAAAATTTGCACCC